TTCGAGGCTGCACCTTGAAAAGAATACATGTGAGGGTAAACCTTTGTAAAAGAGAATAACTTAATAGATATTACAAATCTGGCTCGTCTCAGATATTCGTGTACCGCAAATAAAACTGTTTGCGAAAAGCATTCAATTATATAACTATGTTCTCAAAAACAAAAGATGATAGCTATAATTCAGGGGAAAAAAGTTTTCAAAATCTATACTCTTTTCTACAATGGAAAACTACTACTCTCTAAATAAACATCCAGGTTTCTACAGTTTGGACAAAATAAAACCGTGTAGGTCCACAATCTAACTTACAATAATTCTCGCTAGAGGATAGAAGGGTGGGAGCGCTCTCGACTTGTCGTTGCAGTTACTCTCACTTATTATAATTATAGTAACATGCTTTTCTCAATATAGCTACACATGTCTCGCGAGAATGGCCAATTGAGATGGCGTCTTCAAAGTAAACAATGACTTATTCAATGCAACTCTACGATCGATCTTTAATTGGCAAACGCTCATTTGTGATTTATATGTAATATATGTTACCAATGAGAGCGTGCAATATATTTTAAATATCCAAATTTTTGTTGTTGGCAACGGATAGTCTCTCATACATGAAATGGCAATAAATAGTTGTACAAGTCTAGAAACAATTGTAAAAGGGAGCCATCATTATACACGTTGTAATGTTATTTAATGCATTTTCGAGGTACTTTTCACACAGTTCTCAATGGCATTATTGTTGCATTTGCTATTCTTTTTAAACCGTGAGTGTGAGCTTTTTGTCAAGGTAGTCATTATAGGCAAACTTTGTACAAGAAAATTTAATAGAGTGTCGAATGACTTCTTTTTTTGTTGGGTTTTCTTAGGAAAATGATAGGACTTGCTTAGGAACATGTTTCTAAGTCATAATCAAGAAGTTTTCTTAAGAATAAACTTAAGTTTCAAATTTAGGGTTTTGATTTTTGATGGGGCTTTCATAGAGAATTATTAGAGAGTGTTTGTGTGCACACTCTTGAGTAAGAAAATAAATTGTTTTATGAAGAAAATTGTAGGTTTAAAAATTTAGGGTTTTGTGGAAAATTTCTTTTGTTCTAGAATTGATGTTATGAGGGATTTAGAAACATTTGTAGCTTGAAATCCAAAGTTTTTTTTAGAGATTTTGGAAATTTCACTTTAGGGCTTTTCCAAAAATAATAATTGTAAGCTTAGAGTTAACCCAAATTAATTCTATGAGACATGGGAAGTCTGGAATTTGAAAGAAAAGAATTTTTCTTAATTTTTATATAATATAATTCCGAAAATAACAATTTATTTTAAATGAAATAAATGCTTTTGGAGAACTTAATGCATGTGATAAAATTTGGAAATTTCTTTTCCCTTAGGTTTGAATAAAGGACATTGGTAAAGAGTACGAAGAAGAATAGCAAAGAAAGATTTAAGTGTAAGTGACATCTTGCCTTTTAAAATTCATAGAATTTCTTTATGTATTGCCTATGTTTATGAGCTTCATTAAAGTCTCTAATATTGTTTAATTTTGGATGTTAGCATAAATTTCATGTATTGTTATGAGCTTCATTCATGTGTATCCTTATATTGCATATGATACTTCATGTTCATGGGATTACATTTTACTTACATGCCCACTACAAGCATACACATACATGTGGCACATCATCTGATGTAAAGAATCTTATTACTATGATTATGAAATACAAGTTTGTGTATGTTGAATTGCGGAGTACCAATTATGGTGCCTTGGCACAATATGGTTCTTGAGAACAATAAGGCTCTTGGAGCAATATGAGGATAAATGGCCAAATATGAAATTGTACCTGATCAGTACAATAGAGGTACTCCGGTACGGGTGTATTATAGTAAATAGTAATAGTTGATATTTGCTAAGTGAGAAGGAACATGTAATATGTCATTTTTACAAATGACATAACTTCTACATATGACATCCTTACAACAAAACATTTACCTAACATTGATTTGCATTGGTATCTTGCATAGTACATTTCCCCATTGTATGAATTTTAGATTGAAATTTGTCACATACTGAGCGTAGCTCACTCCCTAGTTTTGGGAATTTTCAGGAGAACCTGGTAAAAGAGATGGCTGACAACCCGAGGTTTACATATAGTCGTCGTACCCCGGGTGACAGGTTCATTTATAGTAGTTTTACTTGTTGTAGTCTCTTACTATAATTTTGGATGGCTTAGCATGTTGGTTGGTAGTTAGCCATCTTGCTTATTTTGAAAATACTTTTTGGAATGAAAATAGAAAATGTTTAGTAGCGCTTTTTGTCTTTGAAGATTTCATTGAATATTATTATTTACTTGAAGAATGATTAGTTACTTATCTAAACGTCCGATCTCGTTCCCGCCTCGTATCTACGAGCTAACCGGGCCGGGTCGTGACAATAGCAGGCTGTCCTTGAAAGAATAATGTGAGGAAAATTTGTAAAAGGAATTAAATTTAATAGATATTACAAATTCTGATGTTCAGTTTCTTACGCAATAAACTGTTTGGAAAAGCATTCAATTTAAAAGTCAAACAAAAGTGATAGCCACAGGGAAAAAGTTTCTAAAAGCTGTATTTTTACAATGAATAAAATCTAAATAACATCCAGGTTTCTATAGTTTGGACAAAATAACGTGTAGGTCCACAACTTTCAAAATCCCTAGAGGAAAGTGCGCTTGTCGATGTCGTTGCACACTTATTATTATAGCAACACGCTTCTCAATATAGCTACACATGTCTGGAGATGGCAATTGGATGCGTCTCAAGGAAACAACATGCTTCT